AAAGTCCAGAGGAAGTGCTTTCTACATGTTCATAAAAAGAAGTAGATGTAGTTTTAATGTTAGTTCCATGGAAAGTAATTTGCATTAAGTGGGGTCGTGGTGGTTATTGTACGAGTGAATGTTCATGCTTACATTACACAGGTGTCTTAGGAATTAAGTTCTTACTTTCGTGAGTTTGTCAGTGATGTCAAGATTTTAACACAAACAAAATAAACAACAACAAAAAAAAAAAAAAACAGAGGAAATAGAAGAAATTAATAGGACGTTAAGCGGCATGACTTTCATTGAAGTAATGTTTAAGATTGAGGCTGTCTTCTGGTTTGATAAGACTCAATTACCAACCCACTATTACGTGATACACGATCATTGATATAACCAATCAACATATGTTATAAGAGTAACATGACGAGTGTCACAGGCAGTTTAAATCTGCTAACCCTTCCTGAGATCAACCCATATTGTAGTGGGTTTCGTGTTGCTCAATCTTTGGATTTCTATGTTGTGTTTTGTATACTGTATTTGTCCTTTGGTCGTTTTTCACTTTTTTCAATGGTATTGTAAGTTTTTTTTCTTTTATTAATGAGTGTGAATGTCCCTTTGGTACCTTTTGCGCCTCTCTTTTAGAATATACAATGATAGTTGCCTTCTAAAACGATAATTATGTATAATTCATTGGGATTTGAACAAACTACAGGAGATAGCAGAAGGGCATATTCCCACCTTCCATAAAAATACGAAAATAAAAATATTTCTTTTCTTGTATATCATTTTAGGCCTCCGATGGCTTCACCAGCTCACTAGTTAATGATTTGGTATGGCCATTATTTATAAGGTATTTTTTTTAAATTCCCCTTTTATGAATTAAGAACTCACTTAGAAACTCAAGTAACAACTCCGTCAGGCAAAGTTGACCTTAGCTTGATTTGGATATTGATTGTAGATCCCTTTTGATCATATTGCTTCGGACGTTTTGACGTTTTTAAATGTTTGCGTTTGACCGTTCTTGGTGAAAGATAAATGCTGGAAAGTTTTTCGGATGCACGAAATTTATGAAGTGTTTTTTTACGTCATTTACTTTTTTTTGTTGTCTCTTCTCAATTCTTTTACGAGATTTTAACATCGATAACATACTGTCGCCTTAATTTTAGCAAATGGTTATCTCAGATGGTGCCATTAAAACAAAATACATATATGGTTTGGCGATATCTGGCCACAGCTTTTATTCATAATATAGATTCATATGATATATATATATATATATATAGATAGATAGATGTATATGTAGATAGATATATGGTTGGTTACCCGAAGATAATATGGCAACCTTGCTGCAAAATGCAGATAGATAGATAGATATATATGAAAATGTAAAGATGCACCGTGGAATACACTGGTGCTTTAAATTTAGAAAACACCGTGGGATACACAAGTGTAGTCTGTATTATCCAAAAACCTAAAATTTCATAGTTAACATTAAGATTCTATGCAGCGAATTCTGCCACATTGACGGAGGAAAACAGAGACTCTGTCAACCGCCATAAAAAGGGCGGCTCGCTGCAAAGCTGTGAACCAGATATGAAATAACTACAGATAGATAGATAGATATTTTTATTCAAAGTACAACTTGGTACATATATATGTTAAATAATCTATATGATGTTTTGTGAACAACTGTTCAAAAACATATTTACCTACACAGATAAAAATACTAACCAAAACTACACCAAACCATAAGATAGTTGATTGTATTTGTATACCATAAAATATAGTATATTATAGTATATCATCAAATATATATTCAAGATGTTTAACAATTCATTTCATAAGCATGTTAAGGGTGACAAGTGAAAAACATCCAGTTGAAAAATTTCTGGTCTGATCGAAAATCATAATATTGTATGTAGCAACCCTGACAGCTAATTATAAAGGCAATAATATAGTTGTATATTCTATAGCAACACAAGTCCATGCTTTGCAATAACCTGGTCAAATTTGAGACCATACTTACTTAAGAATTGAAGAACCGCATAATCCATCTGATCATGTTCTTCATCTCATTGTGCAAAAAACCCACTCTAGAACTACCTGTGTCATTACCTGCTACATGTTTTATTAAGAAATATGGTGGATCCTCATAGTTTCATGTTCTGAGTTAACTTTTAACAGGCTTGACAATCATGCCACCACAAAGATTCATTTCCGTGCCTAGACCTAAGTCAATCCCATCTGGAGGATGTCGGTCTGCTACAAAAACATACTTACTATTGAGGATTCTACTATCTAAACATTAAAGCTAATAGGATCTCCTACAATTCTTGTACAGTAAATAGCTACATGGAAGTATATGTTACATATGTAATACCAATACCATTTAAAGCATAATTAATCGAGAAAAATAATAATTCTTCTGTAACCCCTGTCTTAAGTTGTCAGCATTGGATCTCCGACCCTTTAATAATCCTCAAAAACAATTGAAAAGACAGCTTCAAACACACAGAATTCATACCAAGTTTAGCCAACAACAAGATAAGCAAATATTTGCTAGACTTCAGCATGACTCTGGTTAAGGTAAATGTAAAGGCCTGGAGTGTTTAATACCTTCTTAAAAACTGACAAACCTCAATTTTTTTTTGACACATCTGTTAAATTTTCCTAAAAAAAATATCCAAACCTAGTAAAAGTAATGTCACAATTTTTGTTGAGAGAGATACAAAATGTACAAGTAAGCAATACCTGGACAATTCATAGAGAGAGATAGGAAATGTATTCATTAAAACAATTAGAGATCTGAACTCATGAAAAAAGAAAGACTGTCCTCTCTGACACATCTGTATGTACTGGGTGCTGTGGAACTTGCAATTAAACGGTTACTAAAGGTCTGAAATAACAGTAATAAAACCCGTGGGGTAATAGCAGGATAAACATCTGCAGTTGGGACCAAGCATCTGAAGCGATCCACCTAAAAACCAGAAATGGCTTCAGCCATAATGAAAAATTTGTACCAGAACAGTGATAATGAATGTCATACTAAACTCCCAAATATATGAACTAGAATAAAAATTCATACAAGGCTAACATAGGCAAGAGGCTCTAGACTTGGAACAGGTACTAAATTTCGGAGGGGTTAAACAAGTTATTTAAAATCTCAACCAAATGCAGAACAGACAAACACACAGCAATACGCACAGTAAAAATCACACAGTTTAAAGAAGTCCGAGTCCAATATCAAAATAGGTAACAAAACAAACAAGACAAAAATTGAAAAATGACGACATTACATAAATCAACAATGGACTACTAACAGTTACTGACATGCCAGCTCCAGACCTCAATTTAACTGATCGAAAGATTATGTCTTCATTATATGAAATATCCAGCACCATCCCTCCAATGGGGGTTTAGTATCATATCATCATAACATATATTAGAGGAACATAACCCGTATCAACCAGCAACTGGTTTAAGAATTAATGAGATTTTGTCCGATGCAAAGACTGTGCAAGAGAATCAATATTGAAGCCAAAATATGCCATTTTTTATGCAGGCAACAGTATTCCTTCTTTGTAAGTTTGCTTTAATGTTTTGTTAGCTTTTGAGGTAAACTGACATTTTGTACTTTGTAAAGTATATTACCATTAAAGATTGGATGGGAAATACCTGAATGTGTAAGATGTCTATGTAGAAGTGAATTTCTTATAATGTTATAAAACTGCCCATAAATACAAGGCAAGAAGAACTGGAAAATGAAAACTTATTTCCATTTGAGGTCTATAGTTAGGTGACCTGAAACTTGGATTATCATAAGAAGGCCTAGATTATGCAAAGTAAACATGGTAAATGTCTCCTGTTAGGACAACCAACAAGTTATAAAGGATGACCTGTGTTACACAAAAAAAAAAACAAAAAAAAAACACAAACAAGCTGCTTAACAACATCTAGGTACCCTCATAATTAAAAGCATAACATTTCAAATTAGTCCCAGTGTTCATGCTAACTGAAATTCAACCTGTACTATAATTTTCATTAATAAATATCAATCATAATTTGGAATCAACAGTAGCCCAGCAACCAGTAGGGCCGGGCCAATGGTTTTATGAAAATGAAATTGTTGTCATAATGCTTTCAGCCTAAATTAACAAAGCTTGGCACCTAAATGTACAGCGTAAGATACTCATCTATTTGAGCAACTCCTAGAATCTTCCAGGATGAAGATTACAATAAATTCTAGTATATATATATAAATTAAAGCTGTTGTCGACACCTAAATACTAAAGATTTTTAACTGGTTTGGAGCAGACTGCAAGACAAGCTGTAAATAATTAAAAAAATTAAATTGTACTAGTTTGCTAATATTACATGTACATACATGTATATATCCTTGCTTATCTGCGTCTGACAATTTACATATAACTCTGTAATAGTCTCATTTAAAAATGTTTACAAGATAAAACCATTTTGGCCCCTATTTTCCCTTAAATATATAAAAAAATAAAATTAAAAATAATGAAAATTTCCCACACACCTAAGACTGGTTGGTAGGGTTTGGGCAAACAGAAATATTTGCAGTCTGTCCTAAAAAAGTGATCAATAAATATACACTTCTATAAATTTTGTCCTTTATAATTGTGGTACTTTATTGCAACATCTGTATTCATGCAGTACATGCATATCGATTTGTAATATTCAGATTATGTATCAAGATAAATAATATTATATTAGTTAATAGTGATCTCCATTACAAATCATATGTCACAAATCATATGATAATTTACAAAACAACATTTAAAAGTTTCACATGTAATATATTTATAATAATATATAATTGTAACCTTATATTTAAGAATTGTTTTTTATTTCTAACGCATGATGTGGCATCCCCTATAAATTGTAAAGATAACACATTCAGCAATATTTTGTGGATTTAAGTTTAGAAACTGAGATATAATCATTACACAAATCTTTTAAATCTAAACAGATTGGAAAAAAAAATAAGAGTTGCCTTAATCTTTATACATATGTTTGTTATATGTTAGAATCACATGTACATGTAGGGGTTTAACTTAAAAGTAATATACTGCTTTTGTAAATCTGATGATTACCTGGTAAATTATCAACTGTGAACTGGAACATACTAATGCAGAGCTCTGGGGGTTTGCATAAATGACGTCTGATGATGATCCAATGTACAAATGTATGTGACCTAAAGGAGTTGAGTTAGTGGCGTGATGAGTCGTAAATCCAGTTCAGTCTGGTGACCCATTTGTAAAAACTGGTGTGTCATTGTTGTCTAGGGCTCTGGTCCAACTGTTACAACCCTGGTGGTGTTCTGTTGCAGAGCAAGGTCGCACTTTTCGCTTTCTAACTGATCTTCCCAACATTGTGCTACAACTCAACAAAAAGTAAATATTAGTTCCACCATGCTACAGCATTGACATAACAAAATCAAATGACTGTACAAAGAAACAATAACAATAAAAATATTACGTATACTCCTAGTTGTGTCGAAGATAGTTACAATAATTTCAAAAAAAAAAAAATTAATTTAAAATTAGTATATATACATGATATATATATTTATTAATTCTTAAATCCATAGTCAGTTGATAGTGACATAGCAGCATAGTGTAATATTTGTATATAATTAAGTTATTACAACAATAATTTAAGCTGTGGCCTGTTGGTGACATTATGACTAAATTTGTGATTTATCTGAACTATTCATACCATATCGACCTAGTCTAGGCTAGAGAGTAGTAGCAACTATACATGTCACTGTGATGACTAATGTGACAGACTCGACACTCTGACAGTTTTTAGTAACTAGTGTGTAGGTACACGCAAAATTTATAGCAGGATATATACAGATAATGATATATGTTTGCTTAACTCCACCAGCAAGCTGACATTTAGACATGACGATTTTTGGCTACTGCTTCTTAACTCCGGGCATGGTCTATGTGCAAGATTTCCAAGATTTTTGTATATTTGTATCGAAAGTTGAACTTCCGGTTACGAACCTGGGTCCTTTCGCCCTAAAGGGTACGTCCCTTTTACACCTTTGTACGTTCATATCTTTCATGGAATATTTGCTGTATATGTGCTATGAAAGATCTAGATACACAATTACCGATGTATACCCTTTTAAGGAAAATTTAATTATAATTCGGGAGTTCATCAGATAACGCCTGCCCCACAACACATAAACATTAAAGACACGTTACTAACCTGCATGATCTGTTAGTGTTACAGCGCAAATACAATTGTTAGGCCACAGGAGTTTGAAATCCTAGCAATAACGGTGTAAAAATATGCCAAACTCGACTATCACAGTAGTCGTCATATATATATATATATATATATATATATATATATGAGTACCTTAATATCAGTATCAGGCAGACTATATACATGCATCTAATTTGATGTAGAAATACAATGACGAAATCATTATTATAATCTGCAAATCTTAGGACAATAATGCATCTAATTACTCATATTTGTAAAAATTAAATAATTTATAAAAATGAAAACGAATAATGGGACCAATCTCTTTCAGTCTTTGCATGTGCTCTCCACGTGGCGATGAAATTCCTGATGGAATATGGTTAAAAAAAAATGACGATCGATATAATTATTTCTTTCTAAGATTACTTCTAATAAACATTGGAAGCATGAGTAACCATACAATACAAACATTACTTTACCATTTACAAGTTACTACTTTTCATTTTTTTCAATTTTACCGCTTACGAAATTTAAACAGCTTGCTTGCTGCGATGAAATTCTGTAAAGGACTAAATTACGTCACAGAATATAACGTCACTCATGTTAGGTAAATCTAAAACATGAAACACAATCCGTCAGTGGCCCCAGCGATAACTGAATTTAAGTCTATTTACTTAAATTCCATTACAGTTGACATCATTGTGACATCATATGTGACATATAAGTATTAGGGTTTCCACTTGAAACAAAATGTGCTTCGGTCAACGCTATTACACCCTATGAAATTACAAGGACAAGCATTTATTTTTTAGATACATTTGTTATTCATTTGTCTTTTGGTTGGTACGACAGAACGGATTCGCATTGCTGCTCGTGCTTTTAAGATTTGTTTCACTATCGGGTAGTTTTTTTTTCTATATTTATATTGTTAATTTCTCTTGATAAATAACTGAGGGTCTAACTTTACTTAAATGAGTTGAGCCTATATTGACTTTGCTTTTCTAATTTGAGGTTCATATTCTAAACATAATTCAAATGAAAGTGTGGATGGGATTTGCAGAATAAAGAATAAAGGGCACAACAAATAAAATTAGAGAAATATTATTAAAACTTAATTCTAGGAAATATTGATGCTTACATATAGAATAGAGAATTATGTTTTATTACGTCGTTTTTTCGTTTTTTTTTCTATAATTTTGTCTGTCTCTCATCGACTAATATGGGTTTTGATAAAGAATAGAGCATTATGCTTTATTACGTCATTTCTCGTTTTTTTTCTATAATTTTGTCTGTCTCTCATCGACTAATATGGGTTTTGATAAAGAATAGAGAATTATGCTTTATTACGTCATTTCTCGTTTTTTTTCTATAATTTTGTCTGTCTCTCATCGACTAACATGGGCTTTGATAAAGAATAGAGAATTATGCTTTATTACGTCATTTTTGTTTTTTTTTCTATAATTTTGTCTGTCTCTCATCGACTAGCATGGGCTTTGATAAAGAATAGAGAATTATGCTTTATTACGTCATTTTTCGTTTTTTTTCTATTATTTTGTCAGTCTCTCATCGACTAACATGGGCTTTGATTCTCCTTTTGGTATCGTCCGCCTAATGTTTGTCTCGTGGAGAACTTATCCAGCGTTGAATATAAAAATTTGCAAATAATTAGCTACGGTAATCTATTCAATTCGAATTCACAGTACATTATTATCTTTCAACAACCTTTTTCTTTTCATTAGATATAAATAAAGGCAACAGTAGTATACCGCTGTTCGAAACTCATAAATCGATAGAGATAAAAACAAATCCGGGTTACAAACTAAAACTGAGGGAAACGCATCAAATATAAGAGGAGAACAACGACAACAAAAACACAACATTAATATGTAACACACACAGAAGCGAACTATAATATAACAATGGCCATTTTCCTGACTTGGTACAGGACATTTTAAGAAAAAAATGGTGGGTTGAACCTGGTTTTGTGGCTGTTGTCATACGATCAATCGGATGAGTTGTTTCTCAGTTTTTAAAGCATTGTGTACCTCTTAATCTAAAATGGGGGTAAACACTTTTCTAATTTGGGGGATTTTTAAGTTGCATAATAGAGTAAGAATATGTAGTTGGAAGGAGAGTTGTCTCAATGGCACTCATACCCCATCTTAAATCTATTTCATGGAATGTGGAAGATTATATCGTTTTCCAATTTCTACTTTTTTGAAATGGGAACTAGACATTCTCAATAATCGTGGTGTCTACACCAAGTTTTAACTCATATAATTAATACTGCCGCCTGTTTTATTTATTTTCAAAACTATGTCGTAATGTATATTGATTTTACACAGCGACATTTATGGGTTCATGCATTTTATGGTGTGGACCCTAAATAGTCATAGTTGCCTAGGAATATATGTTAAGTTCTGTTTTAATTCATTGATACAAAAATAGTGTTGGTACCAATAAAACAATATTGAACGATCTTAGAGACTGAAATTGATAACATTTTAGAATAAGAGTATTCAAAGGAGTAAGTCCAGTAAGACCCCTTTTTGGTCCCAAAATAAAGCAGTTTTACAAAATTGTTAAAATGTAAACTTTTAGTTATTCATTGGAAAGTAGAATGCTCCTGCTACATGAATATGGGCTGTTTTTGACAATTAAACATTAAAGCCAACAATGTTTTTAAAATATCAGCAAATATGTTTTTATTATTCAAAAATAAAGCAAAACCTAAAACAAGATAAAAAAATTTCCGGGATTTTGTCACGTGTTGAATCTGAAAAGACAGTTGAGTAGACTATATTTTATTGTGCTCAATTTTTGTTTTTATTGCTTTCATTTTTTTAAAGTGACCGCGGTTTCCGCATTGTTTTAGTAGTTCATCTACTGTAATCACAAGTTTGTAAACACCGATGTTGAGAGTTCGAACCCCGCTCATCGAAAGGTGTTTACGACTTTCATCTTCTTTGACAAGGAGTGTCGGTTTTCTTTCCAAAGGTCGATTGTTTGCTCCGTGCACTACAGTTTCCTCCGCCAACAAAAAAAACCGTCTTTATAAAACTAAGAGTAATGAAACATACGTTTAACACAAAAAAGCAATCAATCGTATAGGAAATTGTCACGGATACATTGTTTTATTTTTAGTGATTGCTAATACTCTTATTCTTTTCATAGTCCTAAAACAGTTCTATATAACTCTCATTTACTAAGAAATGCATGTCACCATGGCCACTTACACACTAGAATTGTTGGATGAGTAAATTGGTTGTATATCTACTCGCCCAATAACTCATATGATGAGTTATATAAAAATCTTAACAATTTTGATATCGTGCGATGGGAGGGAATAAATCACAACAAAGTTTGATTTTTCAGTGAAAATTAGTCGATATATTTAATTAATAGACAACTAAATTCATTAGACACGATTCCCAATTTTATATTCTTGTACGTGTTTACAATAAAACTAATCTATTCTATTTTAAGAAATTTACCTGTGATAAAATAAACGTAAAAAACGTCACTTTTTTTTAGCGTTGATACATTCATGTGACGCACAGTTTATAATTCGTTGTGGTGTCCTGATGTACTGTCGTAAGTTCATGGGAGGTGTCCGTTGTTTTTCTCTGGTTAAATGTACTATTATATTATCTATTTATGTATATCTCTGTCCTGAGTGTTCTTGCGTTCATTTGTATTGTATTCCTGTCAAGTAATGTTGTCATTTTAGGGGTATTTTGAACATTGTCATATAAGCGGGAGGTTTGGCTAGCCATAAAACCAGGTTCAACCCACCATTTTTTCTTAAAATGTCCTGTACCAAGTCAGGATTATGGCAGTTGTTATCAAATAGTCCGTTTCTATGTATGTTGGCGTTTGTTTTTGTTGCAGTTCAGTGTTTCTGTTGTTCAGCTGTTTTTCTCTTATAGTTGTGTTTCACTAGGTTTTGGTTTGTGACCAAAATTTATTTCCGCTGAATCGATTTGTGACTATTGAACAGCGGTATACTACTGTTGCCTTTATATATTAATATTATGTTTTATCGCCAAATTCTATTTATTGGACAGAACTTTTCCTTCAATGTTATTTTCAGTAAAAATACACCATGGCAGTATGGGTAAACATTGCTATTGAAATTTATTTTTCCTTTTTTGCAAAGGTTGTTTGCTGTTACATAAATGTATTCTTAAACACAATTTTCAAAACGACACATTAAACTCTAAATTTTACGCAACATATCTTTGATTTAACCTAAAACTGTGGAATTTCAAACCAAAAAAAACTTGTATTCTGATTATTGAATGAGAAAATAATTGAAAGCAATCATTGCGAAAACAAATCTGTTACAGAACTGCTTCGCGCCTTAAATCAAAAATTTCCAATCAATTGTTGATATTTGTTTAGTATTAACTTACCTCCAAAAATAGCAACCTTATGATGTTCTATGAAGTTATTACTAAAAATGCCCAAAACACATGTACGTGTTTTCAATTACCACCAATATTTGAAAACAATGCATATTTCGAACACAGAAAAATCAGATTTATCTATTCATAAGTTTTATTAGGAAAATTGAAAATGTGGCAATGATTACAATGATTCATTTATTGA